AAAGTGGTGGTGGTGGTGATGTTCCGTGGAGTCGGTTCCGACTCATAGTGATCCTGTACAGCCTTTCCGAGGTTATAAATCTTTACAGGAGCAGAAAACCTCATCTTTCTCCCACGGAACTGCTGGTAGTTTCAAACTGCTGACCATGAGGTTAGCAGCCCGACTCGTAACCACTAAGCTACCAGAGCCCCTTACATTTGAAAAATAACTAATCTTAACTACTGTAAATTCCTGGTGAATTATTCCAAGGTGTAAAACCAATCTCTGAGAAGTTAAAATATACTGACAAATAGCTGAGGTTGTTAGCCATAAACCAATTAAGTGTTGGAAACCATCTGCTAAAATTGAAGCTGTTAATCAAAATAGTTAATACTACGGCCTTTTTCTTGGCAATGACTAAATAGCATGCATCTGCTCATCCAGAAGAGTGATCAACACTGAAGACAGAGGTTAAAAGGAAAGGGGGATGGGAGCAATCAGTTCACCCTGCCCAAGAGAATTTTCATTTGAAACAGGGCCACAAGGAGAGCGTATTACTTGGCCCCAAAACATCTCTAATGGGAAGTTTTCCGATGACTGTTACACTTAATGAAGCAATCTCCCAGCTTCTCCTACCGTTATAGGGGGGACAGAAAGGAAAGCATACATGATGGCAGATGATTAGAAACTAAAGACTGACATTAGAAAGAAAAATATCAAAATTGAAAGCAAGTTTATATAAAACACAATTCATGAGAATTTCAAGATTTCATTAATCTGTTTCTTTTTTCTCTTTCTTAGGTGTGTCCTGTTTGAGTGTTCAGTTTGCCAAACTCCCCAAGGGACTCAAGCATTTAAATTTATCTAAAACCTCATTATCACCTAAAGGTACAGTATTACTTGTTTAACATTGTATCTGTCATATTTCTGTTGAACCATCACCCTACTGTAGATGAGTTAGAATTACTGTTATAAGTGTACAAGGGGGCTTCAAACAGTTCATGGTAAACTTCCTGTATCTTTTCATTCCATTTTTCCATCAACTCTTTAAATCTCCCTCGTTTTATAGCACTCTGGCAGTTTTAAGATAAAGGAATTGTGTGGTTTGAATTCTGAATGCCTATAGTTAAGTGCTTTCAGAGTAGAGGATACTTTTGGTTACACTTGCAATCTGTAACTTTTTGAACTTTGAGTCAGGTGTAATGCTCACCTGACTGACTCCCAACTCCATGCTTCACATTCCCAGAGGCAGCTGGTTGTGTTTTCAATTGTCAGGCATAGACTGCTTGAAAGAAAACTTTGATCCTAACAGTTGGATTGAACTCTGTGTTTTCCATACCTGGAAGTTGCCGTTCTGTCCTCAGGTCCGTTCCTAATTCCACTCATTCCTTCATCCCACATAGCCAGTTTCTCACCAAATCCTGTTATTCTGTTAAAAATATCTTGCCACCACAAACCTATTGCTGCTGAGTCCAACTGTAACTCGTAACAACCCAATAGGACAGAGTAGAACTGCCCCCATAGGATTTTATAGGGTGTAAATCTTCATGGAAGTAGATTACTTCATCTTCCTCTCACGGAGAGGATGACAGGTTCAAACCACTGACCTCTCAGTTAGCAGCTGAACACTTTAACCTCTGTGTTACCGGCGTTCCTTTTTTCCACCCTTGCTCCCTCGTAAGTTACCCTACTGTATGCATTGTGCCTTCGTCCATCCTTCTAGTCTGTTCTGCATGCCTGAAATGTTTTTGGACATTTCATCGCCAAATCTTTTTGGACAACTTATTGTATGAAAGCTTCATCCTTAATCACATCTTCTGAAGCATTCTCCCTATTTCTGATCTCACAGAAGAATCAGTTACCTGTCCTTTGGATTGCTTCTGGATCACATGTAGAGCATTCTTTTATAACGATCATGTTATCCTTACTAGAATAATGCTTTCCTTGCAACCTGTGCTGTTCTCAGCTCGGTGTCTCCACTGCCTGGCATGGAGCCTGAACCATTGTAGATGTTCAGTGGAGTTTGTTAAGTGGAACAAGTTGCCATTTCTTAAAAAGATTGCTATCTTCTGGAGGCAATAAATGTAGTGTAGTTAAGAGTGTAAAGTCTCAAGCTAGATTTCCTGGGGTTGAATCCTGGCTTTTTTGAATATTCACTGTGCATATCATTATGTTTGTATCATCTCTTTGTTCCTCACTTGCCTCATTTGCAAGATGGATACAGGGCAATTATCTCGTTATATGGAGTAAGTCGGCTAATATATGCACAGTGTAGTTTTGGACAGAATGGGATCAGTACTTATTAGCTGTCTGCATGACCACCACTGTAATCGTCATCATGGCCACATGTTTTTATATGCTTTTATTTTGTTTGTGTCCCCACCCAAAACCTGGGTAAATTCCTGCTCACTGTTCATCCTGCAAGATCTACTCTTAGCTCACTTTATTATTTTTATTTTTTGAAACTTTTGCTTACTTTGTTTTATTAAGCCTCAGAAAATAGTCCCCCACCCTCTTGCAGACTTGTTGTTGTTAAGTGCTTTCAAGTCAGTTCCAACTCATAGCGATCCTGATAGTTTCCAAGAAGTTGCTTGTGAGTTTGAACCGCCAACCTTGTGGTTCAAACAACCTTATGGTCAAGTGCTTATCCTAGTCTGTGTTCCATAGTGCTTTGCAGATTCCTCACAGTGAGCACTTTTCCCCATTGCACTATGATTGTGGCCTGGCCTGGAAGCTTCTGAACCATGAGAGTTTGACTCATTCATTTCTGTGTCCCCAACTTTGGTACATAACAGGTTCTTATTGAATGTGCCTTGGGTGAGTAAGAAATAGTGGTCCCTAGACAGTTTTATATCTATATCTATTCACACATTAATCTTAACATACATTTACCCTAAGAATGAATTGAAATTAAAATTAGCCTAATAAGTCACTTGAATAATGTCACAACGTTTACACACACATGTTTAAGATTAAGCATGCAAGGAGATTACCAAAGGGAAAGATTTCCCCTGGAATCAGTGTTTTTTGACTAGTACCCAAAGCCATCTACATACTTTTTTTTTTTTTTTTTTTAAGCTTTCTATTGCATGAAGGTTTACAGAGAAGAGCATCGGTTTTACACTGAGCAAATCATATACTTCATTTTATTTGAATGTTCGCTGTCTCCTCAGTTTAGTACCAGTTACCATGCCTCCTCTTTCTGGTTCTTGTTTCCATTCCATGTTCTTTTCCAGTCCTTCTGAATTTTGTCATTAGGTAAATGTTACCTATTTGATCTTGAAGGGTTGACCATTACATGATACACATATATCGCTAGTGTTGCTGCCCCCCTTCTTTATTACTTGGCTGAAAATTGAGTCATGAGGGTGAGTTCAGTTCCAGACCTGAAGGGTGACCAAGAGCTATAGTTTTGGGTTCCTCTAGTCTCTTTCTGAGACTGTTTTTGTAAAATAATTTTGAGTCCACATTATCCAGGACCTGTGTTCGCTTTCAGAATCGTTGGTAGTGATAGCTGGGCACCATCTAGTTCTTCTGGTCTCAGAGTCATGGAGACTGATGTTCACATGTTCCGTTAGTACATTGGACAAATTGATACCAAGCCTCTTCAGTTCTTTCACTCTTCTTTCCTCTGCACATGGAGAGACCAGTAGTTGCACCTTAGATGGACATTCATGAGTTTTTAAGATCCCAGTTGATACTCACCAAAGTTGGATGTGTAGAGCATTGTGTTTATAGAATGTTATGCCAGTTAACTATGGTGTCCCCTGAATGTCCCCTGAAAGTATGGTCCTGAGCCCACAAGCCCAGCAACTCATTCCCTTAAGGTGTTTGGGAATGTCTAAGAAGCTGTCATAATTTTGACTCCTGTAAAATTGGTTTGAACCACAGGGTTGGTGGTTCAAGCTTATGAGCTGCTCCTCAGAAACTCTATATAGGATTCCTATGAGTTGGAACTGACTCGATGGCACTTAACAACATTCATGAATGTTTTTGCAGCAAAGGTACCCATGTACTAACATCCTCTGTCAAACCTTGATTTGTGTGTATTCTCTCCCCCATACCTGTTCAGCCTGGGTAGCAATGTATAATATACCCGTCAATCGTTGTTATTGTAGAATTGAGTATATAACAGAACGTATAATCTTTATTCCTTTTCATCTACAGATCTTAATGATAATTTTAGCCCTTTTACATGTTAGCAAATCATTGGTTATAAAGCCTTTCCTCGGTGTATTACATATCATAATCGTATAAGTATTTGGTTATCAGTGGTCACATGCTTATGGTAAAGATTAGAAAGAAACAGAAAAGTGTACATAAGCAAAAACTACTAGTAATGTCAACCCCAACCCAAGACAAGACTATCACTGTTGACAATTTGATGAACATTCTTCAACACTTTGTGTTGTTTTTGTCTGTCCTAGTGTTCATATACATACAAACACAGACACAATCATACTATGTTCACTGTTTCATAAACTTTTCCCCCATAAAGTATATTGTGATTGTTTATGTCAGTAAATACATAATCACCATGGATTTCATCACTTTTAATGGCGACATAATATTACAGGGTGGAATGTTGGAGAATTTTAAAAGCAATCAATTATTGTATATTTGGGTGGTTTCAAGTTTTCCATAATGCAATACAAACAACTCTGACATGTATTCTTTAGATAAATATTGGTCATTTCTTACCCTTATTCTTTAGGATAAATTTGTTAGAAGAATTATTAGATCAAAGAGGGTGCATTTTTAAAAACATGTTTGATATGTATTGCCAAGTTGTTCTCCGAGTATTTTGTTCACATTTATATCACTAGACATTGTTCTCCTTTTTCATTGTTTCATTTCAGTCAAAGAAACAAAGTGTTCTTACATTTTAATTTTGTTTTCTTTAGATATTGCTGGAGACATTTGTTTCCCATTAGTAATTTTTGGTGGGCAGTGCTCGTTCACATGGTACAAGTTCTCCTTCTCTGAAGGAGATGGAGATTCACTTCCCAATTAGTGTTGTTGTTGTTAGGTGCCATCGAGTCGGTACTGACCCATAGCGACCTTATGCACAGCAGAACGAAACACTGCCAGATCCTGGGCCAGCCTCCCCACTGTTGCCACGCTTGAGCCCATTGATGTTGCCACTACAGGTTAATTGCGCCAAACTGCAAAGCTGTTTGAACTTCAAGGTCGGCAGATCAAGCTCACCAGCTGCTCCTTGGAAAATCTATACAGGGTCGCTGTGGGTCAGGACAGACTCGATGGCACTTGACAACAACAACAGGTCAGCTGCCACCCATCTGTCATTGGAGGCTTATGTTTTGCTATGATGCTCCCTCCACAGGCTTCAGGAGAGCTTGCAGACTAAGACAGACTAGGAAGAAAGGCCTGGTTATGTACAACGAAAGAAAACCGTCAATCACAGTGGCCTGGCCTGCAAAAGGGATCATGGGGAAGGTGCAGCTCAGGACTGGTCAGCAATTCATTCCATTCTGTTTGTTCTGCTGTGCATGAACTTCCCATAAGTCTGGGATTGACTTAATGGCAGCTGACAAAACAACTGTTGTTGTTGTAAGTGCCGTCCAGTCAGTTTCAATTCATAGCAACCCTGTAAATGGTTTCCGAGGCCAGCTGGTGAGCTCGAACCACCACCCTTGTGGTTCAGTGCATTATCCTGCAGCTCCACACACACCAGGACTCCAACAAAACAACTATAGTTATTTATATTTGTTTTAGGAGAGCTGATAGTTCACATCCTATGTCTCTTCTTTATTGGCAGTGTTCAACTTTATTCTTATACAAATTCTCTGTAATTTAAAAGTATGAATCATTTATTACATGCTCTAAAGGTATATTTTTTTTATGGAGCCCTGCCGTGGTGCTGTGGG